AGGCTCGTAATACCATGTTAGAAACTTAGAGAGAACAAGAATGATGAACTAGGAAGAGAATGGAGTACAAGTATCACAAACCTAGAGTAGTGTACCCCCTAGAAGGCTAACCCACTATAGCCTACACAAATATAACAAGTATAATGTTTGACATCCCCAACCAAGGAAACCCCATGCCACACAATTCCTCTCTCTATAGGCACCCCAACTTTGACATTTGTCACTTTCCCAACCTCCACAATCCACCTCACCCAAGTTGGCCACACTTGCCAACCCAATTTTGGTTTCTCCCAACCACTTGGCAGCATCTACAGTGATGGGGACGAATTTCCCAACCCCCAAAAATCTTTACCCCATATTGAGTCAACCCGCAAATTCCCATAGTCGTCGCATCCCAATCAAAACTTCGAACGATTATAACTTCGTCGTTCTTGCTCCGATCGCAACGATTCTTGGTTCGTCGGAAAGCTCTTGAGCAGAAGAGTCACTTCAGATATCTTCTCAGGCCAAATAACATTCACACACACTCAGAGACTTTAAACCACACCAAAACATATATTCTTGCACACACTCACACCACGCATGCAACGCACGAACATATGATGGGTGGCAGACAGACGTGAATGCAAATGATAGCATCACATTAACACTCTGTTCAACGGGAGTGAGTATGCCCTTCGCTGTGACGTCCTAGAGGGCAGGAAGTTTTAGCTGGAGTTCTTGGCAACTTCTTCTCCCCATCTCTTTGCCATGCTGCTAGCCCCTAAGAAAGACCCCGACACCCTTGACAAACTAACTTTTTGCACTTACCATGAGGCAGTGTCAGGGCAATGGGCCTCTCACTGGATGCTGCCAAGAACTACAGCTCAAACTGCCTGTCCTCTAGGTTGTCACAACCAAGGGCAGACTCACCCCTGGCGGACAAAGGACGGGTAGGAGGAGCAGCCACCACGCGGGTGGCATAGTCAAGGCAATGGGCGGCAGCAAAGTCAGTGACAGCGGCAACAATAGCCGAAGCAGACGATGGAGAGGCAGTGGTGTGTGTGACAAGAGAGGCGAGAACACGTGAGACAACAAGTCGAGAAATATGGTAGTAGTCATTTATAAGGTGAAAGGAGGCTGTAAGAGACAACGTAGATTGTGGCGTGAGAACAGACTGATGCGGAGGACCAGCACCTCCAGCTCCAACACCCCCAGAACCAGCACCTCTAGTGCGAGTATCTCCAGCTCCAGCATCCCCAGAACCAGCACCTCTAGTGTCGGCACCTCCAGCTCTAATACCCCTAGAAATAGCACCTCCAGCTCCGGTACTCCCAGAACCAGCACCTACAGCTCCAACACCCCAAGAACTAGCACCTCCAGTGCCAGCACCTCCAGCTCCAACATCTCCAGAACCAGCACCTGCAGTGCCAGTACCTCCTGCTCCAGCACCCCCAGAGTCCATTGCAACCGGTGATGGTAGTGCCGAAGGCTGCTGCAGTGACTGTGAGGATGACCGTGGGGAAGGAGACGAAACCTGACGTGCTATCGAGGGAAGAGGGGTAGCGTAAGCCATACCTGATGGGGCAGGACCGAGGTGGGGTGGCTGTACCGGAGGAGCGGAAGCCGTAGGAGGAGTGAGGCTTAGGAAGAGGGGAGGGAGGGGACTAGGAGACCTTGGTGGGGGTTGCGGGCATAGTAGGACATAGACTCATCAAAGCGGGCGTCACAGGAGCCGAGGAACCGGTGGAGGGGCGGGTGGTAAAACGTGACGTTAAGGGCGTCCACCGGGAAACCAAGGAAAACATAGGGTAGGGTGCGACCTGAGAGCTTGTCCGCAGAGGTATCGTGGACAAGCACAAGGCAGCCCCAGACACAAAACGCAGATGTGAAATCAGGGGACCCAGTCCAGGGACTGGTTGTTGAAGCCTCCGAGCGAGAGACACGCGGCCAGAGGTTCAGCTGATGGGCCGCGTAGCGAACCGTGTAGGGTCTCTGAAAATGGGGAGCACGAGCATGGATCATGAAGGTGCGGGCGATCTCCATGACCAAGCCTATGCGGCGCTCAGCAACCCCATTTTGCTATGGGGACGTCGACAGCGTCTAGGACTAGTTGATGCCCTGGTCGCAACAGAACCCGGCAAGCACGCCGGAGCAAAACTCACCCCCACGGTCGGAGTGGGAGAAAGGACACGATAACCACGTTGGGCACTAGTGGCCAGCAACCACCGGATCAGGGTAGAAGTCACGTTGGAACACCATGGTCTAGCGGGTGAAGTCGTCGACGACTACCAAGAAGAAGCTGTCCTCTTCGGGCCCGGGGCGAGGGGCGGGGCCTCAGACGTCCAAGTGGAGAGTCTGGAGGGGCGCGGAGGCTGGTCAAAGGGATGAGGACCAAGGGGTAGTGAACGCAACGCAAGAAGTGCACGGCGATGCTAGCGAAGGAGGGCGAGTGAAACGAGTGCAAAAGACCGGAGACAAGAAGGAGGCTAGACATGTGACGGAGGCGTGAGAGGGATGGGTGACCAATGCGGTGGTGACACAGGATTGTCGGGTGGGTGAGCGCTTGGTAGGAGAACTTGGGCTTGTTGCCGCTTTGGCATCGATGTGCGAGGACACGTTCCACCTCGTACTCTAGTTCATCTTGTATGAATACATGCGACGGTGGTGGTAGCTGACGTCCCTGGTACTGTTGATTGGGGTCCTTATATGGCTTCAGCAGCTGAACATGGAAAACGTTGTGGATCTTCCATTTGGTCGGTATGCGCAAGTGGAATGTGACAGGTGTCACCATTGCCTTGACGCGGAAATGTCAATAAAAGCGAGGTCGGAGCTTGGACGGAGGTAGGATGAGTCCAAGTTGCAAGTATCCAAAAGACCTTGTTCCCCGACAACAATCGTGTGATCATGTCGCTGGAGGTTAGCATACTGCTTCTAGGAGTTCTGCATCACGGTGAGGTGTCGATGGGTCTTCTCCCATAGCTGCTGCATGGTGGTGACGAAGTTATGAGCTGCTTGGACATGTGCTGATGTGGTTGGCTGCTGTGGTGTGATGGGGTCACGTCCATAGCACAAGAAGAATGGGGGTTTGCTTGTGGGTTGATAACTCCTGATGTATGCAAACTCTATGGTTGGAAAATGTTGATCCCAATGGCTGATGTCATCTTTGCAGGCTGTGCGTAGTAAATGTCCAGCCACCTTGTTCACTCGTTCTATCTGCCCATCTGTATGGGGGTGGTATGCTGAAGATTTTGCAAGCTTAGTCCTCAACAATCCAATGAGTTCCTGCCAAAACTTACTTGTAAAATTCGGGTCTCGGGCGATATCAGTGTAGTAGGAATGCAGTAGTTGGTGACGATGCGGTCGAAGAAGAGGCAAGTGGTAACTTCAGTCATGGTTGTGGCATTAGTAGGGATAAAGTGTCACATTTGTTATCACTACGAGTATAGCACCATGCCCTCGAGTGGTCGGTGGCAAACCAGTGATGAAGTCTAGACTTGCAACATGCCATGGTTGTTCCGGTATGGGTAATGGCTGAAGTAACCCCATTTTATCTGCTTGCTACTCTTCACCCGCTAGCAGGTATCGCATGAGGTGACGAGATGCTCTACGTCGGTTGCCATCCAGGGCCAGTAGTAGTACTTAGCTATGTTAGGAAGGGTTTGCTACTTCTGAATTGTCCCGCATATGCCACGTTGTATAATGTCTCCAATATTATTTGTCGTAGCGAGGCGTAGTCCATAACCCCTATTTTTCCTCAACTTCTCTCTAAACCCTAAATCTTTCTCTCACTGTAGTAGTTTCTACTTCTCTGCTGTTGCGATCTCTGGATCCACCGAGTACCCATGTAGGAAAAATCTCCTCGAGCAGGGGTTCATCCCGTGTATCAAGATCCCAGTCACATGTCCGGGTCACCTTAACGCGTCCACCTTGTTCTTTCCTGGTTTGTAGATGATGTCGTAGTGGAAGTGTGTCTCGAGGAAGTCCATCCATCGCACCTGTCGCCTGGAGAGCGTTAGCTTTGACTTCAAGTACTCCAGACTGTAGTGGTCGATATTGACCGTTGTATTTGCTCCTTTTGGGTAACACCTCCACGCCTTGAAGGCTGTAACGATCGCCAGCGCCTCCTTATCGTGTATGGGGTAGTTAAAACCGGTGTCACATGAGGCAGGCGTGATGCCTGGCCTCTCACGCTCAGTTACGACTGATATATGTTTCTATGCACTTGCATCTCTGGTGTATATTTGACATATTCAAAAAAAAAAAAAAAAAAAAAAAAAAAAAACCGGTGTCACAAGTTTAGCAAGATTGGTTCAACCTTCCTACGCTTGGTTAGGTGTAACCCTGTTGACAGCGTGGTACACCGAAAGACGTGTCATGCATCTCCTCAAACTATCGCCACCCGAAATTACTATAGCTATGGGAGTGTCTTTACCTTCAAGTGTCGCACATGCAACTAAGGCAGGAAACTTGAAAGCAGTAGGGTAGAAACTTGAGAATTTTAGAGTTTAGTCACTACTGTGTAAGACTAACGATGAGCATCAACCTAATCCGTTTTCATAGGTCACCAACTTACCATGCTGAGGCGGTGAAAAAGCCCACATTAGGCATAGGTTCGACATAGTGGAAGAAGTCCGCTAATTAGTTTTGCAGAAGCGCGCATTTGGTCCTTAGAGTGGTTTAGGTCACGCCAGCGAAGGCGTAGTAGCGTAGGCAAGGCATCACCCAGCCTTGGGTGGAGCAAGAGAGTCACCTAACACAATGCGCAGGTGCGATCGTATCTCGAGTTTAGAATGGGATAACGACCAACAGCCCATTTCGCCCAAAGACTATGCAATGTCGTTCATCTCGCATGCAGCTCGTCAGGCGAACATGCGCTATCGTCCGCACCCCGTCCACTCCATTGGCCCCTCGTCTCTTATTCTCACATTGCTCTTTCCGTAGCCCATTCCCCTGCATTCTGACCGGTCCTTACCCTCTTTTGGGGCCTGTAGCACTATTTCGTCGGTGATGCCCCAACCATGCTTCCTACCCTTCAGTCTGCCATTCCCGCCTTGTTCCTTTGGTTGACCATCCCCTCCGTGCCATCCGTGTTCTCCCACTCGCACGCGCCCATGCGCGTTCTCCCAGTCGGCCGCGCCCATGCCGCGTTCTCCCATTCGCACGCGCCCCGCCGCATTCTCCCGTTTGCATGCGCCCTGTCGCGTTCTCCCATTTGCACGCGCCCTGCTGTATTCGTGCCTCCTCACCTCCTCATGCCCCCTCTTTCAATCTCCTTGCCTCATGTTCCAACATCCATTCTCCCACACGCACGCTCCTTGCCGCATTCTCCCCTCCATATGCGCATTGCCGCATGCTCGCAAGCGTATGCGCCCTGCCGATGTGAACTCAGAAGTATGCGCATTCCCGCGTTCTTCCATCCCCATGCCCCTTGTCGCGTTCTCCTTGTGACATGCACCTCATATATTTGCCAATGACCCGTTTTGCCCATATAAAACAACAAGATGTGAAGTGTCGACAACCGTGGGAGAGCCACTACCGTTTGGGAGGCTCGGAACGGCACCCGTTTTGCATTTGTAGGTCCACTTCACAAATCCTGAGAATTTCCCCCACAGGTCCTCGCCTCCCTTGCACCTCCACGCATCTCCCTCTCGACCCTTCCTTCCTTGTGCCTCTGCGGATTCCCCCTCACGTCCCGTCCTACTGTGCGCCTCTTCTGTTCGCCCTCTGTTCCATTGCTCCCTTGCGCTCCGTCCCATTCCCCATCTTGTCCCTTCCTCCCGTGTGCCTCTCCCATTTACCCTCTCGTCCATTTCTCCCTTGCGCCTCCTTGATTTCCAGCTTTCGTCCCTTCCTCGCGTGCACGTCACCCTATGACCCCTCTCGTCCATTCCTCCCTTGAGCCTTCCAGCTCTAGTCCCTCCCCGCGTGCATGTCGTCGTATGGCCCCTCTCTTCCATTCCTCCCTTGCGCCTCCTTTCATTCCAGATCTCCTCCCTTCCCCACGTGCACGTCGTCGCATGACCCCACTCGTCCCTTCCTCCCTTGCACAGTCGCCTTCCCCCCTCTCCTCCCTTCCTCCCTCATGGCCCCTCCCCCAAGGCAGCTAGGCGAGTGAGTGGCCATCGCAATCATCACCGCCCCACCTGCTGATTCCTCCCATGTCCCCCTGCCCTTGTACCCTCTATGGTTCCTCCTGCAATCACTCTCACACGTCGCTCTAGGCCACTCTTTCAAGGCAGCTAGGCGAGCGAGTGACCATCGCAATCACCACCGCCCCACTTGATAATTCCTCCCATGCCCCCTTGCCCTTGTACCCTCTTTGGTTCCTCCTGCAAACGCTCTCACAGGCCGCTCTAGGCCCCCTCCCCAAGGCAGGTGAGCGAGTGGCCATCGCTATCACCACCGCCCCACATACTGATTTTCCTCCCATGTCCCCTTGCCCTTGTACCCTCTCTGGTTCCTCCCTCAATCGCTCTTCCCATTCTCATAGGGTTGCGTTCTGTTAGGCACGGCCATGTCGACTGATCCAAGCAACAAACTTTGGGAACTGGTCGATTGCTCGCCAAGAAGCACAGAACGAAGCAACTAGTGACATGTAGGAATATGTAGGAGCCTATAGCTCTGCTGTGTAACGGAGCAACGTTCATGTTTGGCAGCAGTCGGGAGGCCTCATGCGGGGACCTGATCTACCTCAATACACTGGCAGCACCACGCCTCACAAAGAGGGCATCAAGAACGAGCAAGAGACACAAATGGTCACAAGACCAGTCAAGAGAAGCACCAATACATAGCTCAGGGTGGATCACTAAGTCACCACACATTCTGAGAGCAAGCACGGAACCACAAGGCCAATTCAAGAGTTCACATATATTTTTTGATGGAAAAAAAAAAACAGAGCAAGAAACAAGAGACAAGTATACAACAAACGAGGGCCTATCTGAACAAGGCCAAGCTGCGTCCAGGACCTATGGTGGTCGCCAGGCAGAAGGGCCGTGGTGAAGATATATGCAGTGTTGGCCGCTGAGACCACAAAGGCCAAGCATGCCTGGCTGCGTCGCTGCAGCTCTTGTACCAGGAAGTACCGCAAGTCGATATGCTTCACTGTGCCCTCCAGTCGAGGCTCTCAACACAAGAGGATCATGGCCTTGTTGTTAGTATACAAGGTCGGTGCAAAGCGAAGCCGCTCACCTACTTCAGTGAACAAGTCGGTCAACCAGTGAAGCTCTTGCGCAGCCATGGCACCGGCATATATCTCACCCTCAGCGCTGGACTCTGCCACAGACGATGACCGAGTAAACCTCCACGAGACAGCTCCAGAGCCCAAGCTGAACTAGTACCCCTGAGTAGACCTGCAGGTCTCCAAGTCGTCAGCGTAGGACGAGTCGCAGTGACTGGTCAGTACAACTGCCTCTCTCCCTCCAAGCACAAGCCTCATGCCTGATGTAGTTGCCAGGTACTTCACTACCCTCACAGCAGCCGCCCAGTGAACACATTACGGTGTCTCCTAGTTGCAACAAAGTGAGCCAGGACGTTGAGAGGAATAGCGAGGTCCGGACGAGAGCAGGTCATCAGGTACATGAGGCAGCCCACAAGCTCTACCTAGGGACCAATAGACTCGTCGAGAAGAGGAGCTATGAGTCCATGCTCAACGGCAAGAGGAATGGGTTGTGTGGTGGAGAACCAGGACCTCCAGTGCCCACCAGCTCGAACACCCCCACAACTAGCACCTCAAGTTCCAGTACCTCCAGATCCAACAGCACCAAGACCAGCACCTCCAGTGCCAGTATCTCCAGCTCCAGCATCCCAGAAGTAGCACCTCCATCGCCAGCACCTCCAACACCTTCAGCACCAAAACTCTAGGAGTCCACTATGACCGGCCACGGTAGTGTCGAAGGCCGCTGCGGGGACTGTGGTGCAGAAGGAGACAACACATGCCATGCTACCGAAGGGAGAGGGGCAGCGTGAGTCACATCTGACGGGGAAGGACCCGGGTGGGGTGGGTGTACTGGAGGAGTGGGAGCAGGAGGAGGAGTGGGGTTGAGGAATTGGGGAGGGGGGTGGATCCGGGAGTCCTCGGTGGGGGTAGCAGGCGTGGAAGGACACGGACTTGTCACAGGAGTCATATCACCAGTGGAAGGGCGGGTGGTAAAATATAAAGTCAATGGCGGCGACCGGGAAACCAAGAAAGACACAAGGGAGGGTGCGAGCCGATACTTTGTGCAGAGGTGTCGCGGACAAACGCAAGGCAGCCCCAGGCACGAAGCTGTGACACAAGACTAGGGGAACCAGTCCAAAGACGAGTCAGGAAAACCTCCGGGCGAGTGACACGCGCAATCCTATGCGTTAGAGGTTCAGACGGTGGGCGGCGTAGCAGGCTGTGTAGGGTTAAAAACAATGGCACAGGAATGGACCATGGAGGTGCGGGCGATCTTCATGACCAATCCTATGTGGCGCTCAGCAACCCCATTCTGCTGTGGTGAGTCCCAAAACGTCCAAGACTGGGTGATGCCCTGCTCGCGACAGATTTTGGCAAGCACGCTGGAGCGAAACTCACCCCACGGTCGGAGTGGAGACAAAGGGCACGACTACCACGCATGGCACTAGTAGCCAGTAACCACATGATTAGGGTAGAAGCCACATCAAAATTCTGCCACTGGGGGAACACCGTGGTGTAGCAGGTGAAGTCATCAACCACCACCAGGAAGAAGCGATCACACCCCTGGCATAACGTCCTAGTGTAGAGTCTGGAGGGGCTAGGTGGCTATTTGAAGGGAGGAGATGTGAGGGGTGGCGTCTAGCCTATCCTCGACGCAAAGAGTGCACGGCGGTGCAGGCAAAGGCAGGAGAGACTTAAACATGAACAGGAGACTTGAGACAAGACGGAGGCTAGACATGGCAGAGGCGAGGGAGGGACATGTGACCAAGACGGTGGTGCCACAGGACGGTTGGGTGAGAAAGCGACTGACAGGAGCATAACGCAGCAACCTGACCAGACGTGTGAGGATCGAAGGATCGGGTTCAGAATTTAATTATTAATCCTGGGTACAACTACATGGCTATATATAGGCACGATACAAGGCAGGTAACCCAGGTGTTACGCGAATGTTCCGTGCATCGGGAACGGTCAAGAATGGAACCTTCGTGAATTCGGTAGAAAAAATCCGGCCAAAATCACGCGCACACAAAGTCACGCAACTTAAATCGATGCTATAACTATAATAAATAGAGGAAAGCAACAATTCTAAGAAAACAAGCATAAGAAAATATGAGTTAGCAAGATAATGCAAGTATGGGTAAGCGTAGCCGCTGTACTCTCACACGTCTCCCCCTCAAAGCTGGGTGGCGTGAGAAACACCCTGCTTGGCATGATAATCCTTGAGAGCACGGCGTGTGATGCCCATATCAGCTTCTGTAACCGAACTATAATCCGATGGGTCATATCCCTTCCAGTGGATCAGGAACTCCAGCGTGTTCCCGCATCTACGTCAATGAGTGTGGACACGTTCCACCTTGTACCCTTGTTCAACCTGTACGAGAACAGGTGACGGCGGTGGTAGCTGTCGTCATTGGAACTGCTGGTCGTCTTGTAGGGCTTCAATATCTGAACATGGAAAGCATTGTGAAACTTCCACGTAGTCGGTAAGCGCAAGCGAATGTTACTAGTGTCACCATGATCTCAACGGAGCAAGAACGTCAGAAGCGAGGCCGGAGCTTGGACGAAAGATGGGATAAGTCGAAGTTACGTGTGTCGAGAAGCACCTTACCTCCAACTACTACCGAGTGATCTCGCCGCTGTCGGTCTGCAAACTACTTCTGAAAGTTCTGCATTGTGGTGAGACTTCGTTGAGTCTTCTCCCATAACTGCTGCATGGTGGTGACAAAGTCACGAGCGGCTTGAAAGTGTGCCGGTGTGGTTGGCTGCTGTGGTGTGATTGGTTCACGTCCGTAGCACAGGAAGAAGGAGATTTCCCAGTGGCCACATGCGATGCGTTATTGTCAGCGCTCTCCAGGGTCGGTAGCGGTAGATACCAGTGGCTGATATCATCCTTGCATGCTGTACGCAGTACCTGTTCAACCACCTGATTGAGTCGCTTCGTCTGTCCGTCTGTCTTGAGGTGGTAGGCTGAAGACATTGCAAGCTTTGTCCCCAACAAACCCATGAGTTCCCCCCAAAACTTAGTCGTGAATTTTGGGTCTCTGTCTGAGATGAGTGTAGCGGGGATGCCGTGGATGGTGATAATGTGGTCGAAGAAGAGGCGAGCAGTTGCTTCAGCTTTAGCCGTGGCGTTAGTCGGAATGAAATGTCCCATTTTACAGAACTTGTCGGTCACCACGAGTATAACATCGTGCCCTCGTAAGGTCGATGGTAGTCTAGTAATGAAATCTAGACTAACAATTGACATGGCTTCTCCAGTACGGGTAGAGGCTGAAGCAACCTTGCCTTTTTCTCCTTGCTATCATCCGTTGGCACGTGTCGCATAAGGTGACAAACTGCTGCACATCCGCTGGCATTCAGGGCTAGTAGTAATACTTTGCCATTCCTGCTAACGTCTTGTTACTCCCAAAATGTCCCGCATATGCCACATCGTGGAACTCTTCCAGTAGGATCTGTCGGAGCGGGGCATAGTTCGGTACCCAAATCTTTCCTGAACATTTCCTTCTCTCACTGTAACAGTTTCTGCTTCTCAGCTGCAGTGATTTTCGCATCCGCGGAGTACCCATCTTGGAATAGACCCTTGAGCAGGGGGTTCATCCCGTCGAGCTGGGTGCCTGTTACATGCCTGGGTCAGCTCAGTGCGTTGGCCTTGTTGTGTGACCTAGGCTTGTAGACGGTTTCATAGACGATTTCGTAGTGGGTTTCGAGGAAGTCCATCCACCGCACCTGTTGTCGTGAAAGCGTAGGTTGCGACTTGAGGTATTTGGGACTGCAGTGATCAGTGTAGACTGTGGTCTTGGCTGCTTCCAGGTAACACCTCCACGCCTTGAAGGCTGTGACTATCGCTAAGGCTTCCTTATCATGGATTGGGTAATTTAGTTCAGCTCCGTGTCGCTTCTTACTGAGGTAATGCGATGGGTTGCAAACCGCGTCCGTGAGCCTGCATTATTA